TCATGACTTAAGAAGAAAAAAAGAACAAAAATAGAACATAAAAAATAAAATAGAAATTACATAGAGAGATAAAATCAACAAATCCAGGATATACACACAATGGAATACTACTCAGCCAAAAAAAAATAGATGAAATCTTGCCATTTGCCACAACACGGATGGAACTTGCGAGTATTATGCCAAGCAAAATCAGTCAGATGGAGAAAGATAAACACTGTATGATTTCACTCACATGTGGAAGATTAACAACAAAACACATAGATACAGACAACAGTTAGCGCTTACCAGAAGGGAGGGGAAGAGGGAGGGTGGAAGGGTTGAAGGTCTTTTGGTGGTGAACACGATGCAGTCAATACAGAAGTCAAAATGTAGTGATGCACACTTGAAATTTATATAATGTTATAGACCAATGTTACCTCAAAAAAAAAAAAAAAGAGAAATGAAACTGTAATGAAATTGATGAGGAAAAATGAGGGTAAACCCAAATTACTAATACCATGAATGAAAAGGAAAATATCATTATAGATCCTATAAGTATTAAAAAGGTCATAAGATGAGATCTCAGATGAAATGAAAAATTACTTGAAAAACAAGACTTACCAAAATAGGTACAATTAGAACATTTAAATAATTCTAAATATGTTTGAGATTAAATTTATAATAATAAAACATACCTGAAAGAAACCTTCAGGTTCAGATGTATCTCTGGTGATGTATTCCTGATATATAGGCAATAAGGAATAACATTCTAAGAATCTTTCAGACAGTAAAAAAAAGAAGAAGAATAACACCTAATTTTATGGGACCATTAAAACACTGATATCAAAACCTAACAAGAATATTACAAGGAGAGATAATTACAGGCTAGTATATCTTATGCCAGAGAAGCCAAATTTCTAGAGAAAACATTTGTAAATATAACTAGGGACTTATTCTAGTAAAAGAAGATAGTTTAATCTTCTAAAGGCAATTGACCTAACACGAAGAAACAACTTACAGTTATCGTGAGAGATGTGTGAAAAATATTTATTAATTTTAATATCTAACAGCAATAAAAACTCAGCAAAATATTTATAGAATTTAAATATCTACAGCCAACATTATAGTTACTGCTAATGATAAGATATCCAGCCTTACCACACCCATGATTGACAAGTGATATTGTAATTTATTTGTTTAGTTAATGACCTGGAAGAGGTCATTTGAATAGGAACAAAATTTCATCACTGATACTACCAAATTTCAAGACTCAATATTAAGCTACAGCAAATAAGAAAATGTGATATTAGCTCAAGGATAGACGTATCAACAAATGCAAAAGAATGAGAAGTCTAGCAGTAGACAAACACATATAGAATAGCTTGTTTTACAACAGAGTGACTGATATGCAGAAAAGATGCTTTTTTTAAACAAATGGTGCCAGAGCAATTAGATATCTACAAGAAGAAAAAATGAACCTAACTTTAACTCATGTCCTAGGACTGCCACCTAGATGTGAGTGTGTATGAGCATAAAAATACATGGGCAAAAATGTTCTTAGCAGTTTTATTTTTAATATTGGTATTTATAAACTAGAAACAAAAAACTATCTATTGTAAAAGAATAAATAAATACATTTTGATATATTGTAAAATGTAAGGCTAAATAGCACTTTTTTAAAACAGCTACTGGTATACAATAATGTAGATGAATCTCATTAATGTTATACCCAATAAAAAAAGGCAGACACAAGAAGTCCATATGGAAGATTCCATTTGTATGTATACATTTATCTTTTTTTTGCTGGGAAAGATTCACCATGAGCTAACATCTATTGCCAATCTTCATCTCTTTTTTTTTCCCTTTTACTCCCCAAAGACCCAGTACATAGTATATATTCTGGTCATTGGTCCTTCTAGTTTCTCTATGTGAGCTGCCACCACAGCACAGCTACTGACAGAGAAGAGGTGTGGTTCCACAACTGGGAACCGAACCTGGGCCACTGAAGCAGAGTGCACTGAACTTTAACGACTAGGCCATGAGGGCTTGCTCTGTATAAGTTTCAACAACAGATAAAACTAAGTTATGTTATTATGGTCATGAGGGAGCATTTTGTAGTGCTAGAAATATCTGTGCGGTAATTTGTGTCGTGGCTATACTCATGTATGTAAATATAAAATTTAACTAATCTGTACACAATATAAGGATGCTTTACTGTGTGTGTGTGTGTGTGTATTTCTTAAATGAGTTCTCACAGGAAAAGATAAAAATATGGAATTTAAATCAAGAAAGTATGGAAAACAAAGGGAGCGGTAAATTTGAAATCTGTGGGTAATTATTAATAGTGATTGAATTTTGACTGTATGACAATAATAGTATTTTATTGGAAGCTTTAAAATAAATGGAATATAAATGTGTGGCAACAATAATGCAAAATATAGAGTGGATCAATGGAGCTGGACCTTCTAAGCTTCTAGCATTATGAGGAAAGTGGAAAAAACAAACGTAGCGTATTATGTTTAATATTTCAAAAATGCATAATTTAAAAAAGGAAGGCAATCACTTATATATAGCAAATGTGAATGTTAAAACAATAAAAAAATATAAATTGAGACTGTATTAAAAATTTAATAGGCAAAACATTTTTTAAAATGGGACACAAAAGTGCTGAATATTAAGGAGAAAAATAACACATTGAACTATATTGATATTTAAAAATTCATCTATAGAGTACAAAGGCAAGCCACAGAGTAAGTGAAAATATTTTTTGTATTCATATATGAAACCATAACCAAAATGTATAAAACAATATTGCAGACCAATAAAATGAAGACAAACAAAACAAAAACAGGAAAATGGGCAAAACACTTGAATAGGCACATCACATAAATATCAAAATGCTCCCCAACAGCAATAAAAATAAAAAATAAAAGTTGCTCCACTTCCTTAGTAATCTGGGAAAAAAAAATTAAATCCATAAAAAGATGCTATTACACTCTCACTGGAAAGGATACAAGAAAAAAATGTAAAAATTTTCAGGTGTTGGTGAGGATATGGGGCAACTGGAAGTCTCATAAAGCACTGATGGAAATGTTACACCACTTGGGAAAAATGATTGACAGCACCTACTAAAGCTGCACATACAAAATGCAGAGTCTGTACAATGCATTATACATAAAGTGTAGTTTTCAACAAAAATTTACCATACCTACAAAGAAACAGAAAAATGTAACTCATACACATGAAAAAAAA